GTGTATGCGAAACCAGGATAAGACAGAGAGAGTATATCAAATGTTGTACAAATATAACAGATAAATAGATGAACCAGTCTTTGAAACATGAGTTTCTGATTAGCCACGTTCATAACAAATAATAGTTTTGTTGTGATGTTAAGTTTTAATTATTCATGCTCACGCTTATTACATAAACATTTATAAACAGGAGGAAGGGGAAGCATACGCAGAGTTACTTGGTTTGTATATTGGGGAGATGTCCTCGACCAGATAAGGTGGATACGAAAACACAGTTTGATTCTGTGAAAACTTATCTGATCTAGAACCATTTTGTCTCTGCAAACAACTTACTAATTAGTGCACCAACCAAAGCACAATCACAAAAAAACGCAAAACGAAATTATACTGTTGAAAAATTATTTGTTGCTGAGATAACGAAAGTTGGCACCGAGACAAATCCGTGAACGCCAGCCGGGCTGAATTCCTACATGCTATTATATGTAAACAGGTTTATACACCTATTTTGTTTATCGTTATTACAGATTTTAAAAGAAATAGCATCTTTTATTTAAATTTAAATTTTGCAGAAAATACAAAAGACCGTACATAGATAAATTCGGGAAAACTGTACTTCCCCTGTGGTAGAACAATTGTTGTTCCGATATCAAAATTTGGCACCAAGCCAGACCAATGGGCGTCGGCCGGGCAGGCACCCTCCATCATAAATTGGTCTGGTTTGCATCATAAATGTGTTAGACCAATTTTAGAATATGCTAATGTAATAATCAAAATTATTATTAGAATCAGTCCAACTAGATGCTGCTAGAGTACTGACAGGGCTTCGTGGAGGTACATCACACCATAAATTGTACAAAGAATTGGGATGGGAAACCTTAGCTACTAGGAGGGAAAACATAAATTAATTTTAATGTATAAAATATTGCATAATACATCACAAAAGTACCTTAATGATATAGTTGAAGCTTTTTTAAATAATTTAACAAATGTGAGGTATCAGCTAAGACTAAATAGAATTTTAACCCCCCGGTATTTAGAACTAAGAGCTACTTTAATAGTTTCTTTTCCTCGACCTTTCGACTTTACAATCAGTTAGACCCAGATATCTCAATCTCTTACCCAGTTTAAGAAACTAATTAACATAACTAATAGTATACCTAATAATGGTACTCAGACAGTGTTAAAAAAACTCTGGTGATAGAAATATCAATATTTTACTATGTCAAATTAGAAATAATGCTAGCAACATATACTTTGATCACTTTAATGATCATCTGTTATAATCTGCTTTATGTGAGTGTGGTTATATACAGGAAACAAGTTATCATTACTTCTTTGACTGTGCCAGATACAACAATCACAGACAATTACTCTCTGCTACTCTATTCAATGATTATCACTCGCACTAGACTCTACATACCTAACTAAATGGTTGAAACCAATGTTACAATGAAACCAATAAAAATATCCTAGAGAGTGTCTCAGCCTTTATCGTGAACTCAAAAAGAGTTTATGATGCCTTGGAAGGAATTTTCCACGCTGTATATGTTGAAGGATCGTCATCAAACTTGGAAAATCTAGTCATGTTCAAATCCTTCTTAGCTAAATAAGAAGTGATCGCCTCGGTTTCTGATGTTTCACCTGGTGACGTGAAGGTGAGTGGCATCGTGAAGGTGTTTGGTATCGATGAGACCATGGGTGGTGGAACAACTGAAGTCATATATGGAGTTGATGACGTCATATATGTAGGGGTTGACCGTGACGTGACATGTGGTGCAACGCTTGATTACATGGATGATCCACTTGATGTCATATATGTAGGGGTTGGCCATGACGTGACGCGTGGTGCAACGCCTGGCAACATGGATGATCCACTCGATGTCATATATGCAGGGGTTGAAGGCGGACGAGGGCATGTTGTCATGTGTTGAGTTCACGGCATAGTATTTGCTGGTAATGTGAGATAGTTTTCATTACTCTCATTTTCAAGTCTCTGTTGATCTAACAGACTCCTTTCTATCTGTTCAATAACTTAAGTTTTTGCATTTGACACATTTAACTCCAATTCAATTGACCGCCTTTAGGTCTTACAGTTTCGTGTTCATAAAATGGCGACTGTACCAAAACAAAACAAGTGGCGCTACCTAGCGCTAACCGAATTCCGCAACAAGGCAAATAACTCTTTAGGTAAGGATCGTAATGAATTTTATCGATACAATCATAGTACTAAAAGTACTGCACTGAACAGTACAGGTAAGTTATCTCCGCGAACACGGAATAAATTTCCTTTGCAACTAAATTATTTTACAAAGTATTTTTGTTTCAAATTAATATCTGCTGTCAATTTTTTAATAATCAATGCTTGTTAAAAATGCGATTATATAAATTAAATGATTAAAAATATGCAAAGTGGAACTATTTGTTTATTGTTCAACTGTGTTTTTCTTCACCGTTGACAATGCATCATCTTCCCCGCGAAAAAGGATACTCCATAAATGTTGTTTTCATGACGGTGTTTTGCTTTTTTACGTGAAAAAGTATATAAAAAAAAGTATTAACTTCAAATAATAAGAGCGTAGCTCTCGGGTCTCGAAGATCGGGACCCAAGACTCTGGTTGCTTTGGTCATCTTATATAGCATAAACATCCACTGCCTTCTCGGGTTGCTGATTAGAAAATACCTTGACAAGGATAACCTTTGCACAGGAACGTCCACTGAAGTCACTGCATACCGCTGTACATTTGCTGTTGACATTTGGACTTCCTTGATGTGTGTTGGGTTGTGACATCTCCTGATCACTAATAGCTGTATGTGTGACGTTGCACCGCTCTCCGTCTTGGCGTGTGCCAGGTTTTGATATCTTGTCACTACTAGCTGTGTGTATGTGCGATTTCTCCTCACTATTTGCCTTCCTGTGACCTCTTCCCGCGTGCGTTCCTGTGGTTTTGTCTGTCACGTTGAGAACTTGCTATATGCATACATGTTGGGTGATTAGATAATCCGCATTCCTTGCACCTGATGTCAGCCTTACACTCTCTTGCGTTGTGTGAACCCTCACAGCACTTAAAGCACATTCTGTTCTCCTTGAGAATGTCTTTCCTCTCTTCTCTGTGATATCCATTTGTCGGAACTGTTTACACTCGCTGAGCTTGTGAGGGGAAATCTGGTGAACGGGACATGCGGTGTGTTCTTGGTTGGATGGCGTTCCTCCTGCTGGGACATGTAAGGTGGTCTTCTGTATCTGGAAGTTCTGTCGACGTGGCCTCTGGTTTTCATCCTGGTTGTCATTGTACATAAAGCTTGGGTCATTTAACATGGTGGCGGAGATGAAGCTGACAAAATGGTTGAATAGAGGGTAGGGTACCTTGTGGGTATTCTTTGCATTTGAATGTGAATGCGTACTCGCGATTAAACTACCACCTTACAGATTTATTGTCCCCCTGAAGGCGTGTATGAGGAGCCTTTTGCATGTGTTATAAACCATGTTTCAGCCATTTCCTTTACTTTTAGATATGCCACGTTCCTGGTCTTGAACCACTCATCGTCGGTGGATTTTTCAGGATCTACGAGTATACTACCCTGTGTATACTCATGAGCGAGTAGGACCTGCTCGTAGGCTTCCATCCATTCCACATATGTAGATTTAAATGTCATGATGTCTGTGCCTTCGGGCTCATCCAACAGTCGTTGTATGCCCTGACTGTGTTTGTCTAAGTTCTTAATATTTCTGAGTCTACTTATTAGTTTCAGGCCTGCCGTAAAAGACTGGCCTTTCTCAGTCATATTTACTTCACGAGCGGGTCTGCTTGTATCCCCACTATCACTAGTTACAGTATTATTAGGTTCAGCCTGCATACTGTAGTTTCAAAGTTTGAAAGTCTGGTGATCTGTGTTCACGGTCATAGAAGACGATTTTTTACTGTTCTGCCCTAGCCTCCTCAGATGCGTTAGAAGTATAGCCGGCAGAGAGATAACGAAGTTTGATTCCAGATCAGTGACGGTCGACGTACTTTATTCTTTCATCAGACATCGTAAAAGCTACAATACAAGCAAACGATTTCTTACAAACTAATAAAGCAATATGGACAATTTAAATGGAAATTATCTGTATGCTTAAACGTTATATACAAACATTGGATTGATTTACTAATATTGACTGACATTAATTATTTAAATATCATGGCATTATATGATAACCACGTGGGTTTATGCAAATCGCGCACCTTGATTTTGACATACGGCATGACACGAACTTACATGACAAAATATAGTCAAGGGAATAGATAATAGCCATGCTCACTGTTAACGTTCGTTAAAGGGACAATAATTATGGGCGGCCGTTTTAGGATAAAATACATAAATCACTTAAGTGCATAAACTTTAACACTTAAGTGCAAAAAACCCAAATGACCAGTATGTACTTTTTCAACTTAAGTGTAAAAGATTTCCACTTAAGTTTTAAAAAAATATTTGCACTTAGGTGCAAAAAACACGGAGAGGTTTCCATAAGAAATTCACCCATCGAAGTCATTTTCGACTGTTCCAAAATAAAGCTCAATAATTGGTCGACCAATGAGCAGTGTTCTATCAAGCTCACTCGTATCGACCAATCAAATCGTGCAACCTATTGCAGTGTGCCCTAGCGATGCGTAAACAATATGGCGGCTCCTATAATAACTCGTGTTAATTTTTGATCAAGCACATGCCACCAAATCGCGCCAAATGGAGGTATCAACTGTCGTGGCAAATGCTATGAACAGCATATCTACAGCCAGGAACAGCCTTGTAGAAGATGCGATAGTTGAAACCACAAGAAGGCTGTTTAGAAGAAGACGTTATCGGCAAGACGGGGTATGTACAACATGGCTTAAATACATACTGCTTAATTACATGCTTTTCGCCATTTCATTGATAAATTTTGAATAATGGCAGTAATAATTGACTATGAACTTATATGTTGAGATAGAGAGATGTGCTATGATTCGTGAAATATGTGATTCAATATTGTTTTTTGACAGATAACTAGTTTACAAGCCTTGTTTTGGAGTGTATGTCAAATTTTGGGGCCCTTCGGAAGTTCAGTTACTGTTCATGCCATTTTACTGTCATTCTAATTGGCTTGGGCTAAGTATTTCAGAATACAAAATTATCAACTTCACCTTAATCAGCTTCTATTGCTTGACACAACTTTCTTTGTTTTATTTATTTTGGTACTTAAGATGAATAAACCAGTTTCATTTAGGTTTGTATTCTTCATGTTCCCATATATTTTCATAACACCAATATACATGTTGTCAAGTAGAATTATAAGCATTCACTGTAATTCATGAGAATGATGTACTAGATGAGAGGGGTTATATTGGTAAATTTCTTGCAAAGTTGAGGGTGTGCTGAAAATCATGTAAATATCTGTATGCTGTTTTACGTAACTGTTTAAAATATGGCAGCTTTCAAGTTAAATGTTTTCTTACAAAACCTGAGTACATAACTGACAATAATAAGGAATTATCTTTTGATTATGAATAAATAAAAAGACATTGTTGTATTGTTCAGCAACAATTTTACTTAAAAAATGTAAAGACCTGCTAAGAATACAATTGGAATATACATATATCTTTATTTAAATTTCTCTCTGTTCCTTGAAAGTTAACACAAGTGATTTATATATAACTTACAATTTGATTGAAAATTAGTCACAATTTACTTTTGTTCACATTTAAATTATTTGCATTCATTAACAAAATATTATATATTTGACTGTTTTATCGCGTACCTCAACATTTTACCATTTATTCATATGTGTTTGTAAGCTAGGAATTATCACGATACAATGAGACAGTCTGACACTTGGTAACAATGATAAATAAAGTAACGCCAATTACTGTCTGTACTATAAAGTGTCACTGGCAGCTGTTCATGTATACACAAGGCAGTCCCTATAAACAAGCACCTGTGACTGCATATCTCTGAGTGCCAACATTTTTTAATTTCCTTGACCGACAGTTTGTTTTGACAGGATTTAAAAACATTTCCTCCAGAAATTTAACTGTAAAAAGTATTATTTATTATTTGGATCTATTAAATTGTATTTAATTTTCAAAAAGTCATACTCATGATGTTACTAAACATGTTTACCCATGTAATATTTTATGAGTTTGTAATTGCACATCAATTAAAGTCATTACGAATTACACCATATGCGACAATGTTAATTATTTATGATATTACAACACATTATTAAGTATTTTAGCTAACTGCTAAGAAAGAAAAATCTATTCAACTTGTGATTGTAAGAAACTCGCACAGACACACAAACAAATATACAGCACTTGTTGTTTATGTTGTCCTGTCAACAAAAATAAATAGTCCTTGATGAACCTCGAAAGAGCTAAATGCGCTAGAAAGGTACCAAGAAACTCCTGTATTTCTTTTTAATATTCAACCATCACTAGGACTTTGGATGTTTTTCTGATAAGATATACTACTGGTAAACTCTTTGTTTTATTTTGTTTTAATATTTTTTCATACCAATTAGTGCTTAAACATTTTTAGTAGTTTTCATAATTTTTTCTCCCAGATGATGTTTAATATTTTTGTTACAGAAATGCATACATGTATAGACTTTTACATTGTATTTATATATTGAACACCTTCTTTATAACAATTCCTTTGAAAGATATTTTGAGTTTGTAATTATCAAAAGCTATATGTATCTTATACTTGTTTTACGTCATATATACACTAACCAAATTAATCCTTATTCTCTAATACCTTTCTACAATCTAATTTAACTCCTTCTTCCATTTTGTTTTATCTTTTCTTGATCAACTGGAATTTAAAACATACATTTCAGAATTCTAAATTGTTAAGCTTCTGTGAAGATTTAATTATATATTAGATTTTCTGATTGATACCA